GATTAATTATCTCTGCTTAAACCGAAAACAGAATAATTTAACTTTATTTTGTCACCATTAGCATTGTTTACTGTGCAACTAACGTTTGCTTTGTANCAGCTCAAAAAAGGGAGAATTCTAAGGCAAGAATAACAGTTTTATGGGTCCTGGCTGATATTGTATAATGCTTCCTCAAGTGGTACAGTGCAGAGGACAATTGTTTAGTCTGTCTACAGACGTCCCCCTCCCTGATTTTTTTCTGAGGGAGGGGGGGCGTCTGCATACAGGCTAGTGATTGTTTTCTTTAAGAGAAAAATGTTCTATTATATACATGGCAGGTTTTTGTTTGAAATCTAATGTTATTTGTACATTTCACCACCCTGAGCGCCGCAGTCTCTTGCAGTAGCTGTTACGGTACACTCACAGAAGGGTACATTTGTAAGATAAGCCAAGTAACCTGACATTCATTGTAAACAAGGCCAGGAAAACAAGTGTAAACATACCTTCTCAGAGCTGCACGCAGAAGTAACTGATGAGCAATAATTCAAAATGTTCCTTACAAGACCGATCGTAATAACTGGAGTCTGTGAGCCTGGAGTTCTCGCCTTGTTTCTTCTATAAACATTGTTTGAAAATAAATTGAAAGAAAAAAATAATGTGTTTGATTAATTATCTCTGCTTAAACCGAAAACAGAATAATTTAACTTTATTTTGTCACCATAAGCATTGCTTACTGTGCAACTAACGTTTGCTTTGTATAGAACATATTCAACAAGCCATCAATCATAGTCATAGTCAATCATAATCATCAATCAAAAAATAGGGCCTATTAAAAACCTTTTGCGAATAAACAAGTTTACAACATAAAATAGGGCCTATTAATAAAACTAGAACACGACTACAGCCCTAGCAAACAAGAATGTTTAAACGATTTTGTTAACTTATATAATTAAATCTTTCTCTAAACAAAAAAAACTAGGAAGCAAACTTCATGAACTACCTAAAGTCAAATGTTCAATGCTAATAATAGTTTGGTAAACAGTACATTGATACCTTAATAAATGCTAAAATGGAAATGACATAAGCTTCAATTTATGATCTTTCTAAATTTAAATCTATGCAAATCTCCCAGACGGGATATATGTACACAGGGAATGGCAAATTGTCAGCGGTTATTTACCACTGACTTAAGATATTAAAAAGGAAAATTAAAAAGAAATTCATAATGTGATATACTCACCAGCCAAACTTTAAAACTCGAAGATACAACAGTTCAACCAAAAGCAGCAATGTACTGTCAGTCCAGGTTCAGGATTTTTATCTCTACACAACAATTTTAAGCAAGAATTATGCACATTTGACCCTGAAAGGCTGAATAAAAGTCAAAGCCTATTAGCTAGAAAGTCCAGTGTTAATGTTGTGGACGATCTAAAACAACAATATTAGAGACAAAAAAGGAAAAAGTTAGAAATCTAGGAAGAAAATGCGCTCAACCATTACCTGTCAAGATTAAGGGTAACTAAAATGTTTCTGCTTTGGTAAGTATCTTAATGAAATGGTTTCCCAAATTAGAGTGGTATCCCTACGTTTCTCTGTTCCCTGATTTATTGTGTTATCGGCTTGAGTGTCACCAGTTTACGCAAAATACGTTTCAACAGCTGTACACTCGGTCGAATTTCCACAAAAAAACCAGTTCCTAAAGAAACCAGGATTCCTGTTGTCTGCGTTGATAATTTTAGATTGGTATCCCTGTTTCTCTGTTCCCTGATTTATTGTGTTATCGGCTTGAGTGTCACCGGTTTACGCAAAATACGTTTCAACAGCTATACACTCCGTCGAATTTCCACAAAAAATCAGTTCACAAAGAAACCAGGATTCCCACAGTCTGCGTAGATAATTTTAGATTGGGGTAATAAAAGTTGATGTGCTCTTTAATGGAACAGAAAAGGGGAAGACATTAAAGGTGAAAATGGCAGAAATCTAGGAAGCGGAAGACTTGCAAACTTAAAGCACTCACCTGTTGAAGCCGAGAATGAAATCCACTCCTACTAAGAATGTAACCATGGACAGTTAGCAGCTTATACATCAATTCTGTCTTAGTTAGGCAGCAACAGTAGCTCTGAAAGCAAGGGTAACAAAACTTTGAAATATACATCGTAGTATTCTTTTTTATTAAGGTTGGGAACATACATAACGTTAGTGGTAACACTGTTTGGAGTTTATAGGATTTTTCTTAGCTCCAAAGAGCTGCAGATTTGCTCTTTCATCATTTGCTACACAGTGCTATGGCAATAGATATGTCCATTTAATCCTTTAAGCCCTAAGAGTGATCAGCATGGAATTTCTCCTTCTAATATCAATGCTTTGTAAAACAGATTGGTCATGAGAATTACATGATCACACAAGATAAATTTGCTTAATATTTTATCAACTTCTCCCCAATACATCTGTAGGAAATGAATAGGGGCAACAAATGAGAATCCAAATTTTGATCTTAGGGTTTAAAGGGTTAAACGTTCCTCCCTCTACGCGATCCGCCACACAAATTACCCACGACTTGTTCTATGCAGGGTTCACAGCATAATCAGTAGAGCAACAGCAGATCTAACTTGAAGGTCGTACGTGGGTGCGAATCATACCAAGGCCAAAAGTTCTCTTTGCCTCATGTGGTCCCCAAATTTCTTTTATTTGGGCCAACCCTCATTGGGGTTTTATGGGTTAAAACCTACCAGAAGTTGAAAGGTTATTACTTTGTAGTTCCTTCTGTCCCTGTCAAACTTTTTCATATGGACTTGTTGAAATCTGATGCATTATTCAACTGGACATGTATCATTTCCCTTGACCAACATTTTATCCCGACAAAAAAGACAAAGATGTTAAACATGAATGTTATTCTGGATAAATAATGTTTACAAAAAATGAATTAATGTGAATCAGTAGCCAATATGAGCACTCTGAAGGGAGACAGCTGTAGTTTGCATTTGTAGTAGTTGTATTTGTATTTCTGTCCTGTAAGAAGGTTGTTTTGCTAAAGAATTTTAAAATTCTTTTTTTCCTCTATGGCCTCCCTGCAATGTGTAATTCCAGAAAACATCCATAATCCCCCATGAAGGGCAACAGAAATTCCGGGGGGAGGGAGTCCAAAAGGAGGCAATTTCTGAGGGAGTTGGGGGGTTGTTTACAGTGTTTTTTTGTTGCTTTTTTTCCAGGGGAAAAATATAAATATCAAGATATAAATATCAAAATTTATGTCAGCTTCTCTGTTGAGCAATTAATAAGCTATTAGATATTTCACTGTTACTGGTCTTCAAAACAGGTATTATTGTTTGCATTGACCATCTTTTGTCTATGGTGGGCTAAACACTTTTTTGTTTTCACGGCTTACGTGTAGATAGTTTTCTTTACAGTGTAATACATCAGCTCATGAGCAAACTTCCGGTCATCTAGCTGTTGCTTTATTACACGTTTGATCCTTCATATTAAATTAATTTTGGTCAAGTTCTAAGCATTCTGGTAACATTTTCTAACTAAAAATGAAGCACCGGTATAACCCATTTCTTATATGAGAATGAGGCACACAATTAGAAATTAATGATTGAGGCTGAGTAAGTTATGAGGAATTATGCAGATCAAGGAGGGTGTTATTCACCGTTTGGCCTTGGTAGATAACACCCTCCGAGATCTGCATAATTCTTTATACCCTACGAAAGCGGAATTCATTACACATAACCCTACTGTTATGTGCTTCCCCACCTGGGAAACACATATCCCTAGTGATTTGAGTTCTTTTACCTGGGCAACAGATATGCCTAGTGTTATGTGTTTCCCCCACCCGGGAAACACATATCCCTAGTGTTATGTGTTCCCCTACACGGGAAACCCATATCCCTAGTGATTTGTATTCCCCCACCTAGGAAACACATCTCCCTATTGTTATGTGTTCCCCATCCTGGGAAACACATGTCCCTAGTGTTATGTGTTCCCCCACCTGGGAAACACATATCCCTAGTGTGGGAATCACATATCCCTAATGATCTGTGTTCCCCCACCTGGCAAACACATATCCCTAGTGATTTGAGTTCTTTTACCTGGGAAACAGATATGCCTAGTGTTATGTGTTTCCCCCACCTGGGAAACACATATTCCTAGTGATTGGAGTTCCCCTACCTGGCAAACACAAATCCCTAGTGTTATGTGTTCCCCCACACGGGAAACCCATATCCCTAGTGATTTGTATTCCCCCGCCTAGGAAACACATCTCCCTATTGTTATGTGTTCCCCATCCTGGGAAACACATGTCCCTAGTGTTATGTGTTCCCCCACCTGGAAAAAACACATATCCCTAGTAATTTGAGTTCCCCCACCTGGGAAACCCATATCCCTACTGTTATGTGTTCCCTCACCTGGGAAACACATATCTCTAGTGATTTGAGTTCCCCTACTTGGGAAACAGATATCCCAAGTTATTTGAGTTTCCCTACCTGGGAAACACATATCCCTAGTGTTATGCGTTTCCTTTCCTGGGAAACACTTATCCCTAGTGATTTGGTTTCCCCCACCTGGGAAACACATATCTCTACTGTTATGTGTCCCCCCACCTGGCAAGCACATATCCGTAGTGATTTGTGTTCCGCACCCGGGGAAACACATATCCCTAGTGATTTGTGTTCCCTCACCTGGGCAACACATATCCCTAGTGTTAGGTGTTCCCCTACCTAGGAAACACATCATCCCTAGTGTTATGTGTTCCCCCACCTGTGAAACACATATCCCTAGTGATTTGTGTTCTGCTGCCTAGGAAACACATCTCCCTAGCGTTATGTGCTCCCCCACCTAGGAAACACACCTCCATAGTGTTACATTCTTACAACCAGGGGTCTTACAACTAGAAGTCTTACAATCAGGACTCTCACAACAAGCGGTCTAACAACCAGGACTCTTACAACAAGGGGTCTTACAACCAGGACTCTTACAACTAGGGTTCGTACAATCAGGACTCCTTCAAACAGGACTCTTACAACATGGGGTCTTACAACAACAAGGGGTCTTATGACCAGGGGTCTTACAATCAGGACTCTTACAACCAGGACTCTTACCACCGGAGGTCCCAGAACCAGGACTCTTAAAACCAGGGATCTTACAACCAGGACTCTTACAATCAGGACTCTTGCAACCAGAACTCTTACAAGCAGGGGCCTTACAATCAGGACTCTTACAACCAGGATTCATACAACCAGGGGTCTTACAACCATGGAACTTACAACCAGGGGTCTTACAACCAGGACTCTTACAACCAGGGTCTGACAACCAGGGGTCTTACAATCAGGACTCTTGCAACTAGGTCTCTTACAACCAGGGGTCATAAAGCCAGAAGTCTTACGATAAGGACTCTTAAACCAGGACTCTTAAAACCAGGGGTCCTACATCCAAGTCTCTTAGAACCATCGGTTTTACCATAACGACTTAGAACCACAGTTGTTACAACCAGGACTCTAACAACCAGGACTCTAACAACCAGGGGTATTACAATCAGCACTCTTACAACCAGGTGTCTTACAAACAGAACTCATACAACCAGGAGACTTACAACCACAACTCTCGTAACCAGGGGTCTTACAACCAGGGGTCTTAACACCAGGACTCTTACAACCAGGGGTCTTACAATAGGGACTCTTACAACCAGGACTCTCACAACCAGGGGTTTTACAATCAGGACTCTTACAACCAGGGGTCTCACAACCAGGGGTCTTACAACCAGGACTCTTACAACCAGGAATCTTACAACCACGGGTCTTACAATCAGGACTCTTCCAACCAGGGTTCTTACGACCAGGGGTCTTACAATAAGGGGTCTTAAAACCAGGACTCTTACAACTAGGCGTCTTACAACCAGGGGTTTTATAATCAGAACTCTTAGAACCAGGACTCTTACAACAAGGAGTCTTACAATCGGAACTCATACAACCAGGACTCTTACAGCCAGGTGTCTTACAAGCACGGGTCTTACAACCAGGGGTCTACCAAGCAGGGGTCTTACAATCAGGACTCTTAGAACCAGGACTCTCACAACCAGGGGTCTTACAACTAGGTGTCTTACAATAGGGACTCTTACAACCTGGACTCTCAGAACCAAGGGTTTTACAATCAGGACTCTTACAACCGGGACTCTTACAACCAGGACTCTTACATAAAGGGGACTTACAAACAGGACTCCACAACCAGGGGTCTTAAAACCCGGACTTTTACAACCAGGGATCTTACAAGCAGAGGTCTTACAACCATGGGTCTGACAACCAGGGGTCTTACAATAGGGACTCTTACAATCAGGACTCTCACAAACAAGGGTTTTACAATCAGGACTCTTACAACCAGGATTCTTACAACCAGGGATCTTACAACCATGGGTCTTACAATCAGGACTCTTACAACCAGGGGACTTACAACCAGGACTCTTACAACCAGAGGTTTTACCATTAGAACTTTTACAACCAGGACTCTTACAACCAGGACTCTTATAACCAGGACTCTTACAACCAGGGGTCTTACAACAGGGACTCTTACAACCCGGACTCTCACAACCAGGGGTCTTACAACTAGGACTCTTACAACCAGAGGTTTTACCATTAGGACTTTTACAACCAGGGTTCTTACAACCAGTACTCTTACAACCAGGGGTATTACAATTAGGTCTCTTACAACAAGGGATCTTACAACTAGGGGTCTTACAACCAGGGGTCTTACAACCAGGACTGTTACAACTAGGGGACTTAAAACCAGGACTCTTACAACAAGGGGTCTTACAATTGAGAATCTTACACACAGGACTCTTAGTAAGAGCGGTCTTACAAGCAGGGGTCTTACAAGCAGGGGTTTTACAATCAGGACTCTTAATATCAGGGCACTTAGAACAAGGGGTCTTACAAGCAGGACTCTTACAACCAGGCGTCTTACATCCAGGAGTCTTACAACCAGGGGTCTTACAACCACGGGTCTTACAACCAGGAGTCTTACAACCAGGGGTCTTGCAACCAGGGGTCCTACAATCAGGACTGTTACAACCAGCACTCTTACAACCAGAGGTCTTACAAGCGGGGTCTAACAAGCAGGGGTCTTACAACCAGGACTCGTACAACCGGGGGTCTTACAACCAGGACTTTTACAACCAGGGGTCTTACAACCAGGAGTCTTACAATCATGGGTCTTACAATCAGAACTCTTTTAACCAGGACTCTTACAACCAGGGGTCTTACCACCAGGACTCTTACAACCAGGGGTCTTACAACCAGGACACTTACAACCATGGGTCTTACAATCAGGACTCTTACAACCAGGACTCTTACAAGCAGGGGTCTTAAAATTGGGACTCTTACAATCAGTGGGGTGGAGAGGGGGAGGAACTGGGGGCGGTCGTAAAAAAATTTTTTCCGCCTTTTGGACCTCACTGGAGTCTAAAAATAAGGGGGTACTTGGTGCCCTCCCCTGGATCCACCACTAGTGTAAAGGGTACCTGTGCATTGAAAATAAAGCAGTGGGATTTCTAAGGTGGCCTGTGTGAGAGACACTTATTATTCATTACTGTTTGAATTGTTACAAAATGGAGATACATCCTCGAGACGATAAATGATAAATGGTTTGTATGTTTCCTTTCCGAATGCTCACTGAGATATGATAATTTAGTATGAGAAAATAGAAGGGATTCCCGTCACGTAACATCTCCATTGAGCTGAGTGTACATCATGCCGAGAATTAAAAACTCTAAAAAGAAAATGGTCGGCTATTGAATACTATTCGGGTGAGAGAGGAAGTTCACGGAGGAGAGATTGTGTAGCATTTCTTCATTTTTTTACAAAGGTACAATTAAAAATCGTGACTTAAACCTATTTTTATCACGCGATCTCCTGTCTCACCGTACCAAAATTATCATATCTTGGTGAGCATCGGAAGTTAGCCAAGTGTGGTCATTGCACGCGAGCTAAACAAGAATGCTGTATAATGACAGACTAGAAACAATAGAAAACTCCCAAAGCACAAACTCAGCCAAAACGCTAAAAATCTTCAATGTTTACTTAAGTTTGGGCTTATAAAAGATAATGTCACAGTTTTTCAATGAAATTCAGAATCCGGGTAGTAAGGTAATCAATTGTGGCCCTGAAAAAATTTGAAGGAAAAAAAAAACTATGAGCTTTGAAGAAAATGCTTTTTTCGTGAGAAGGACTCTTAAACGCTGACAAACGTCAACAAATAGCTAAAACTATAATCTTTATATGTTTGCATTGCTCGAAGTCGTGCGTGTTTACAAGGCACTAAAGTTTTTTGCTGACTTGCAAGGACCCATCTGTTATAAAGATCCCCAAAATAAAGGGATAAATCTCATAGTTTATTAGACATAATTGTTTAAAGTTTGCTTATCATTTTCACATAAATTATGACCTAAATTTGGAAACTGCTGAATTTCTCACATTGGGTCTTTGCGATTTTGGTGAAACTCTGTTCAACACAAGGCACTAACGCGAACTATAAGTAGGCGAGAAATTTTCACGTAAAAATGCCGGCAACAGCAGAATTTCGACTCAGACCCCAAAAGGCATGGCACTATAACCACGTGACATTTACTTCGATCGCCAAAAATTTTATGCTATATTGTAGATTGATCTATATGTTATCCATGCTATATGTAAGACGTACGATCAAAGTAAAGGTGGGGATACCAGAGAGCTTCAAAGTAGGATGGTACCCTCACAAAATAACTGGGTCGAGTCACCTTCGNCTTATCATTTTCACATAAATTATGACCTAAATTTGGAAACTGCTGAATTTCTCACATTGGGTCTTTGCGATTTTGGTGAAACTCTGTTCAACACAAGGCACTAACGCGAACTATAAGTAGGCGAGAAATTTTCACGTAAAAATGCCGGCAACAGCAGAATTTCGACTCAGACCCCAAAAGGCATGGCACTATAACCACGTGACATTTACTTCGATCGCCAAAAATTTTATGCTATATTGTAGATTGATCTATATGTTATCCATGCTATATGTAAGACGTACGATCAAAGTAAAGGTGGGGATACCAGAGAGCTTCAAAGTAGGATGGTACCCTCACAAAATAACTGGGTCGAGTCACCTTCGATATTCCCGCAATCTCCCGCTATGCCGCGGGGGTCGGGAGGCCGGGGTTTCAATTGACTGACGCATAATTAAACTAGAGGCCAGAAGTTCGGATGGGGAAGAATTCAAAGCCTCACAAAGTTTAATTCTCGCAATCTTAAAATTATCTTATAAATCTACCTACCTGATGTCTGTGGCCTTCCGTTCGATCCCGTACTCAACGGATGGAGTGTTAAGGTGCCAATTAACGTGGTCTAATCAATCACACGCAAACTTTCTGACTCTTGTCGCAAAACTAAACATGGTGAAGACAAATTAGATAGTTTGTCCCAAAACATCCAAAAGAATGCTATCAAAACACGCACTACAACAAATCATTTTACCCTTCTTACCATTTCTGTAGTGTAATTAATTAGTCCAATGTGCAAAGGATTCACCTTCATGCAGCACAAACATGGCGCGTGTTGCTTGGCGCGGCAACTTAGCTATCGAGGCAGAACGAGAAGACCCTGGGAATGACAACAAATTTCGACATTTTTCTCTGTTCCAACTTCTCAATCGACTTTAATCAGGGACTTATCTATAAACTTAACATAGTGTATACTCACCTTGTCAACATCAGTAATCATTATTTCTTGGCTTATTTTGCCAAAAAAGGGATAACGAAATTTATTATATGAAAAACGTTTTGACCAAAACAATTATATAAACCCCTTCGCAAAAATCCAATTTAGAGAGCCTACATAATCGATAGTTATATTGTGGAAGGCCTATTTTTCTCTAAACTTCCACGAAACATCATTCCTAGGCTATTTGGCAGATAAGCAGGCAGTAGACAATTATTTTCAAAAAATCACTGCCTGACCCCTTAGAATTGGAAAAATCTAATTTGGCGACTATGTACTCTATGCTACTTTCGCACATCCCACGATGACTGATCAAAGTCGATTTTTTAACAGTCTAGAAAAGTATGATTTCTATGGAAAGTATTACTAAACATCATTTTACTCATTTTACTGATTAGGGTGAAGCACTTTTTTAACGGATTAGGGTTAAGCGCTGTTTAGGGTTAAAAACGTTTTTTACCGATTTATAGGGTTAAGCGCTTTTTGGCGTTAAACAGGTGGGCGGACACCATTCATAAAACCTAAGATGACTGCCAACATAAAATTACTCTTAATGGTCCAGATGTCATATTTTCTGCTCTAAAACATCGCTGAACTTCATTTACTTGTGTACTTAAACTTAAAATCAACATTGAAAAGAAGCACATTAGATCTGATAGGACTGGAAGAATTTTGGATAAAAGGACATGATATGGGCTCAAAAGGAATTGTAGATACAATAAGGCAAAGGCTTAAGGATATAGAACTCCGACACTGAATGAGTGAAATATATAACGACGTAAGAAGAATACTGACCAAAATAACAAAATGACAACATACCGAAAATTTAAAACAATAGAAAATTACAAATGTGAGGATTACCTTCGCCAGGTTACCAATACCCGCCACAGAATAATGTTAACAAAATTGCCATTAAGCAACCACAAACTCGCAATAGAAACGGGCCGATATTGACCTTAAAAAAAACCTGAAGAAAGAAAATGTGCAGTGTGTAAACTAGAAATTCCCCGTCACTAAAAATCCGAAGAGTATCCCCCTGGGGCCGCTATGACGTTAACTAACGATCCATCCACAAGGTTTACATGTATACGGAGTCATCGAAGCAAAAAGTTGCTTACATCTCCACCGGTGTGTGACAAACCCAGACTGCAGACTTGCAGGTAAACGAGGGAAACATTAATTGTTGTGAAATGCTTTAAAAGATTCTCTATCCCTAAACTTTAAGTCTTCTAAAAGTCTATTTAACCTTTTAAGCCCGAAGAGTGATCAGCATCAAATTTCTCCTTGTGATATCAGTGCTTTGTAAAACAGAGTGGTCATGAGATTGACGGACGTGATCACACAAGATGATTTTGCTTGATATTTTATCAACTTCTCCCCACTACTTCTGTGGGAAATTAATAGGGGCAACAAATAAGAATCCAAATTTTGATCTTAGGTTTTAAAGGGTTAACGGATTGGGAATCTGTTAGAGCATTTCGCAACAATGTTTACCTCGTTGACCTGCCAGTCCGCAAGTCTACAGTCTGCGTTTGTCGCACGCAGACAGCCGGCCTACCTTGCATCAGTGCTCGTGCTTTCTTCATGGGCTGCTTGCTGTTAACTCAATAAATATTCAGTGGGCATATTGTCCAATTGAATGCATGGATTTAATCAGATTCAGTGGCTGTTGTAATTGGTGAAATTCATCGAAAAAATAACGTCAACAGCAGAATTTCGACTCAGAACCCAAAGAGGCGTGGCACTATAACCACGTGACATTAACTCCGATCGCCAAAAATTTTATGCTATAATGTAGATTGATCTATATGTTATCCATACTTCATGTTAGACTTACGATCAAAGTAAAGGTGGGGATACCAGAGAGCTTCAAAGTTGGATGTCATCCTCACAAAATAACTAAGTCGAATAACCTTTACTTGATAACCTTTGTTATTTTCGCTGCTTTTGTTTAACATTGATAATCAACGCGTTTAAAAAGAATACATAATTTAGCAAAACCAAAGAAATGAAATACTCCGGTGAAACTGTTAAAACTGTTTAAAACACCCATAACTCGTCTTTTATCAAGTCCCTAGAAGCACTGGATTTTTAAACCTTAATAAAAAACCACTATTCGCGCTCAGCAGCCAAAACATAGGGTCGTGGGGAAGTTAAGGGTAGAAATTGATCACAGACT